TTGTGCCATATGCCGGAATGATTTTGCTCTTTGTTCAGGGACAAGCCTTTTGGGTGAGGAATTGTTGCTGGGCACGGTATTCACTCTCGGAGCGGAAATTTTTGACATTGAGGGTCGAATCAGAAGATTTGTCTATTTGAATTTAGTGTGCGATTCAATATGCTGTATAGTATGATAAATATAAGAAGCAACGCGCCTGAAGGTTGGTCCTCCGTGAAATGCCGAATTGGCGGTGAACAAATTCGAGTGGTCTACCGGAATCCAGTGTTGCAATGGAGAAAATGTTTGAAAAACCGCCGATTGGAGGGCAGAACTTGTCAAATGCCAGGCCGCACCCATCGCGAAGAACTGCGACCTCTCACAGAGACATTCACTTGACGACTCAAAATTAAGGAGTAATGTTATCGCAATAAAAATAACGAGAATAAACAAATAAAGTTTTGGGTAGATTGGCCATTGTTTTTCATATTTTTTTTCTTCTTCTATACCTTTAGCTCAATTTTTGGGGTGGATGCTTTTGATGCTGGAGATTTACCACCCACCGGTTTTTTTTTTTTTTTTTTTTTCTTGCTAAAAACGGCATCATACCGGCATTTTAAGCAAGGAAGGTCTTATAATGAAGAAGAAGAAAAATCCGAAGAATTAAAGCTAGCCTGGATTTATTTCTCAGAATTTTATTCCCAATTTATTATTCCGGTACTATGATAAATGAAGCCTCTACGATGGTATTATACTTTAGTTGCGGTGAATGGGTAGACGATCTTCTGCAAATGACGGCATTTCGAAGCTTTCCCCCTTGTATCATAATTCTGTTTAGGGCGGATACCCGCGTAAGTGATGTCTTGTTAGCATTATATCATACTAAGTCTTAATAAGGAGAACAGCTTCAAAAAAATTATACCCCAATGAAGGCATAATAACAGTATGATATAGCCATTTAAATATGGTAATTCCTCGTGCGGGTTTTGGATGACCCAAATCATAGTTTTGGCATCTTGCGCTAGATGTGAGAAACTTTGATGGCTTGTATGATATTTATCATAACTCATCCAAAAACACTATAATCAATCGAAATAGCATTATGAGCTTTCACAACCGCTTAGTGAGTGCTGACGGCTACGCGGGTAAAGGGCTGTGCTATGAGATTTGCGAAATAATTAAGATACGGTACCAGGCAAGTACTGTACTTGTACAGTACCTTTTCCATAGAGAGCCAATACCTGTATATGATTCGGGGTATGATATCTTTTACCAATGTCACCTCCAATCCTCCTAATACTTTGCTCCTAAAATCTCCTGGTAGAGCTTGACTTTTTTTTATCGGGGAAAATTCAATATGATTCTAAAAAGGGTTAGAATGTTTTTTTGTTTTTTTTCGTGAAGTGCTAGAATACTCATGACTTTTGGCGCCAAGATCGTACAGTACATGTGACACTCTCATATCTTGGTCCCGATTTGAGGCCCTTTGCGTTTGCGTTGTATCATATATAATAATATAATCTTGGACTGTTACATTCCCTTTGCCCCCCCCTCCCCCGGCAGAGATGGCGCTGGGCGTCGGTCGGTTATGATACGAAAAGTGAGGCTCGAGAGGGGGATCGACGGCAGGTTGGAGGGTTGAGGGGCACCTTATCGTCTGCCGTTAATTTATCTTTGTGCTCATCGTGTCATAAGTTACGACCCAAGTTAAATTTAATAGCCCCTCACCATATTATTATGGTTCTCCATCCTTCTTCGGACGCTCACCGTGCAGAGCCCCATACAAACCTTGAAGGACGCCATCGGATTCACACATTCTTCTACGGCATTTGCGCTTGAGAAGATGCACTACACTTCTCTACTCGTATAGTACTAGGTAGACTACGGCACCGTACTTGCACAACACTCGTACAGTACAAAGTTGCGCAAGCTACCATAGAGAACTGCAGGATACTATATTGGCCTCTCTTGTTCAATCAGATTTATTACATTTTTCCCCTCAAAGCCAGCTAACCAAATCTAATTCCGGTAGCCAATGTGAAGAGCCTCTTAAAAGCCTCTCGAATCTTCTTGCACGAGATGATCTGACAAGTTACACGGCGCTTACACCCCCCCCCCCCCCCGCGCAGCTATCCGCCATCCCCGAGCGCTCAATCCGAAATAGCCACCAGCCTCTCCATCCCACTCATTCCATCCCGGAGGATCTTGAACCTCCCTTACCCCAACCACTTTTTCCCCACCGACGCCAAACAAAACTCCCACCCAAATATGGCTCCTCACTAACCTTCCCCCTATGAACCTCTCTCCCTCTGCTCTTACACCAACTCGCCGCCGCCGTTATGTCACTTCTTCAGAATCAAGAGTGAGCGACCTCACTTTTCAAACCTATAGTTTCTTGTCACTTACCTTTCGTCCTTCCAGCTTTGTTCTGTACCGCATTCGTAACCGCTACCTCCACTGCGTGCGAGATGGCGTGGGCGAGCGCCTGATCACCGTAAACCCGGCAGCGCTCAATGTCCCCGCATTCAAGAACGCCGGTTGGGGATGTCCCTCGGAGATCCGTCGCACATATTCTCCCCCGATACCTGTTGGCGCATCAACGGAGTACTTTACCAGTCGAGCGCCGCTATCCAATCGAGACGCAGATAGCAGTCCTATACCCTCACTACAGCAGCACTATCAACAACAGCAAGTTGGAGGTGTGGATCTTGGAAGGTCGTTCATGAGGCCTGGGCTTGCCTCACATTTTTCAAACGAGAGCACTGATGCCGTGGATACGGGGTTTACGGGGAATACGGGGAGGTTGGAGGAAGTGAAGGAGAGGGTGCGCAGAGAGCATCATGGGGATAGGGAGGACGATAGCTCCGACATGAGTGAGGAGTCAGAGGATGAGGAGGCGGGGACTGCGTATGCTCAATCGTATTCTATATGAATGTCCCGTTGCTGATGCAGACATAGTCCCCCGCAAAAGACGCAGTTCGATTTCGCAAAGAAGGAAATTCCTCAGCGCCCCCGCTCGGGGTCATCACCGCTGCGCTCCGTCCCTAGAGCCCCAGACTCCTCCACAACCCGCTCCCGCGTGCGCCGGATTCGTGGGGGCTCACATGGGGACGTAGACTTTAACGGAAAGGTCAACCATCCCCCCGGCAGCCTCCAAGAACCTTCGGAAGATATCCTCTCCAGTGGCCTATTGGGTGTCTCGGAACGACGACTCCACGCCCAGATCACAGAAAAACTCCACTCATCCCCGAATTCCTCCTCCCTGACACATACAAGTAGTTTCGGAGACGACGACGACGACTCGGACGCAAGCAGTCTCGACTCGGACTTTACCGAAACCGCAGACTCAGATCCCACAAGTGTCTTTTCCAATGGGGGAGGTGTGCCGTCGTCGCCGGGGATATTTCACGCTTTACCACCACCCATACGACCGGTTTCCATGATTCAACCGGTATCTATACTAACGCAGTTGCTCAAAGCAAAAGAATCGGAGGCTGCGAACCCAATGGAGGATTACCAACAATTCGCTGGGAAAGGGGAGCTGGCGCCAATAACACTGAAGCTGTACATCCCGTATTCCAAATCCTCCTCTCCGTTCGAAGTCATAATCAAGCGAACGCGAAAAGTCCAATCCGGAGATACTACAGTGGCGGAAGCGATCGGGTTCACGCTGTATAAGTACATTGAGGACAAGAAGGAGCCAGAATTACGGGACGAGTTGTGCGACATAAACAAGTGGGTACTGAGAATGGTCGATGATGGGGACCCAGATGAGGATTTCCCGCCGTTGGAGAGGACACAACCGATTACCGCTTATATAGCGCAGGGTGGACGACGGGGCGGGAGGGGTGGTGTGGCAAAATTGGAGGGGGAGTTTGCACTTGTGGAAGCTACAGAAGAGCAATGTTTGTTTTTACGGGTTTTCCTTATCCGCATGGGGAGTAGCTAATTTTTGGCGACAGATTTGGAAAACGAAAGGACAACACCGAATGTGAACCCTCCAAAGAAGGCCATTCTAGCCACCACCACAACCACCACCGCCACAACCACCACCACCCAAACACCAACAATTCCAACGACAGAGATAATCCCCCCAACTCCTTCAACCCCCCTCCCAACCTCCTCCTCCTCCACCTTCCCCACCATCCCCCCCACCGCAACAACCCCCACGACCCCCACAGCACCTACCAAAACCCTCCGAATCCACATCTCCCCAACCTCCACCTTCGCGCACTCTATCCCTCTAAGCGTGAGCACCACCACACCCCTCTCCACTGTCCTCCAGCAAATCTGCCAAAAGAAATCCCTACAACCCGAGAACCACATCCTGCGCATCACCAACGCCCCCACGTTGGCAATCCTCCCATTAGACTCCCCCGTCAGCGCATTGGGAACCCAAACCGACCTAGCCCTTGCGCGGAACCCCACCCTCCCCCTCCCCCCCCCTCCCCCCCCAGCGCTCGAGACACCAGAGCTGGACGTGTACCTGCCGCCAGAAGCGGATTACCAGCGCTTCACACTATACAGGAAATCGACGACGCCAATTTCCTTCTTGAGCAGGCATTACGAGAGGGTTCTTGCCATCGATGGGGAATATCTGCATATCCAGTCCGTGAGGAAGACCAAGAGTGTACATGTTAGCACCATCATTGGCGCGAAGGTTTGTGGTCGGGGGGGTGTTGGCTTGAAAATTTTTGTGTGGAGGGGTGGGGGGAAGGAGAGCAAGTTTGAGTTTGAAGCTTCGAGTGCTGAGGTTGCGGAGGAGGTTGTCGGGGTTGTTAGACGGGGGGTCGAGGGGTGGGGCGGTGGTGTGCGGGGGGAATGATCACTGGGGAGAGTGATATTCTATGATTGGGTGGGTTTTTTCTTTCTTAGCGGGGTGAAATATTCGCATTCCAGTTGTAATATCATAGCAAAACGATCGGGCGAGTGAGCAAGAAAGGTGTGGCGTGCGCTATATATGCGCTAGTACGAGAGTAACAGAAAATCTAAGGAAAAAAAAACTAAAAAAAACGGAAACATTATTGCCTCCAAATGGCCACCGCCATATCAACCACCTTCTTCATCTCCGCGACATCATGAACCCTAACCACATCTGCCCCGCCCGCAACACACGCCGCCACCGCCCCCGCGGTTCCCCACGTCCTCTCCTTCGCAACTTCCACGCCGGTAACCGTGCCGACAAACTTCTTCCGACTAGGCCCCACAACCCAGGGTAATCCGATCCCACCCGTGACCTCCGCAAGCCCTCTCAGCAACTCCAAGTTGTGTTGCATACCCTTGGCGAACCCGATCCCGGGGTCCAGCAACATATTCCACCTGCGTACGCCCGCCTCCTCAGCGGCGCGAACGCGCTCCCCAAGCTCGGAGATGACGGCGGGGACCACGCCGGTGGGGTAGGATGCTAAGGAATTCATGGTGGAGGGGGTACCACGCATGTGCATCAGGCAGATGGGCACTGCGAGGTCCGCTGCTGTTTTGAGCATGTCCTTGTCCAAAGTTCCGGCGGAGATGTCGTTTATTAGATCCGCGCCGGCGGATATTGCAGCTCTGGCCACCACGGATCTGTATGTATCTATGCTTATCACGGTCTTTATGCCTGCGTCGCGAAGGGATTTGATTGCCGGGATCACCCTTGATAGTTCCTCTTCTGGGCTTACTTGTGCGGCACCCGGGCGGGTGCTGCACCCGCCTATATCTAAGATGTCGGCTCCCGCAGCGGTCAGCTCCCGTGCGGTTGATATAATGCTATCGTGTGTATGCTGGCCGCCGTCAGAGAAGGAGTCTGGGGTTAGGTTTAGGATTGCCATTATGTACGTTTTTCGGTGGGGGTTTGAAGGGTCGAGTGGGGGGAGGTGCGGGGAGAGAAAGGCAAATGTACGGAGGGGCGGGGTGTCGGGCGGTGGTAGGGGGACGGCATTCAGATGGTGTTTGAAGGCGGTGGAGGTTAGTGGGTGGGGTTTGTTGGGGGATATACTGGTCATGTCAGTAAATTGCTGGGATGAGGAGGGGGAGAGGGGGAACGTACTCGCACAGGGGCCGGAGAACGAATTCGCGTTCGAGCATTTTCGGATGCGGGATTGTGAGGTGTGGAGTTTCGAGTACAAGATTGTCGTAGAGGAGTATGTCTAGGTCTATCGATCTGGGTCCGTTCTCGATACTTTTTAATCGACCGAGGAGGGATTCTATATCCTTTAAGGTCTCTAATAGGACGTCTGGGGATAGTGTTGTCTCTACCTGTTACATGTTAGCATCCATACCAATACCTACCGCCAGATGTGAAGATGACCTGAATAACCCCATTCAAAAACGTCGGCTGATCAAGGTAATACATCGGGGCACTCTGATACAAACTGCTCGTTTTCTTAACCTTTATCCCCCTTTTTTCTACTTCTGCGACAGCGTCTTTTATGGCTTGAAAGCGGTCTCCAATATTACTACCTAAAGCGATGAATGCATCATGATTTCCCTCTACTTCTGCTGCGGCTTCTTCTAAAGCAAAGAACGACCTCTCCCTGGTAATCTCCACCCCCGGCCCCTCTGCAAACGTCAGAGCACTCGGCTTCTCCGCCCGCACCGTAATCTTCGAAATCCCACACCCGATACAAGCCTCCTTCGCGACGGCCGTAACAAGCGCCTCGACCGTCTTGTAATCCGAGGCTTCAACATGCTCTGTCACGTACTTAGCCACGGAACGGAAGTTATAATGCGGGTCGAAATTTCCACCCTCAACCACCTGTACGAGCTCCCCGGGGCTGTTCTCTTTGTGCATCGTCAAGTTGATCACAACAGCCTGTTTCTCTTCCCGTTCCCAGGGGTTCACGCCAATGATTGTTACAAGCCGGAGGCCCTTGACGAAAACCCGGTCACTACCTTCAGCAAATACTTCTCCCTCGTTATTCTTCCTCCTGGTAATTGAGATCCCGGCTGCATCCGCGCGGAGCAGAGCTCTCGGTTTCTCAACAGTGACCCTAACCCAACCGGCGTTGATGTTCGGGCCCAAAGCGGTACGCGCTACGTCCTCCGCAAGGTGCTCTAGAGAACTGAATGTGTCGTTTTCGACGTGCGCAGTCACAACCTTCGTTACTGTGCCATAATTTATGGAGTATGGGAGGTGGTCTGTTGAGCCGGCGAGCGCGATGGAGCTCTTGAGCCAGAGGCTTAGGAGAATTGGTTGGGGATGTTTACGGCCCCAGGAGTCTACGCCTGTTGTGGCTTTCCTAAAGCCCGGTTCCATTTGTTAGCAATTGCCATTGCAGGACTTCAGTAGAGGTGGCATACAAATTCAAGGAACGGACAAATATCAAATCATTCCCATCCTCGGAGGATGGCGATTCTTGCATGGCTTTGGCGCAGCTCCTTCTCTGGGGTAAGAATTGTTTCAGCGTTTGCGTTAAGTAGGCCTCCTTCAGCGGAGGAGTAGGGAGTAATATGGTGTGTGTGTGATTAGGTGCACGGCGGGGTAGCAATGCGATGACAGGCCGGAAAGTGAGGGGGGGGAAGAGGATGCGAGAGATCATTCTGAGGGTTGGTTGGTTACTTTATGATCTGTTGGTGTGGTGAGGAAACGAAGAAAACCCAGAGTAACAGGCGAGCTTCTCGTATAAGTCGGTATGAGATCATTGCGGGTTTGGGCTATCGGGATTTATCCCATTCGCTGGCTCTTCAGGAGGGATGCCCGCAGAAGGGACCCACGATGTAGGGTTCGTAGATATTTTTTCTTGGTATCATATCATAATATCTACTCGAGTAAACTGGTGTTTTCAAATAATATTTAGACCCGGGATATTGTAGTTTCATTGGTTCCCTCAGTCAGTACTTGCACAATGCTTAAGGGCAGATTTACCATCAATAATAGGATCGGGTAGTGGTCATGTGTGTGGTATATTTTTTAAGTGTCGGATGAAGATGGAAGCCTTTCAATGATAGTCTGCTGTATTATCGTACCTACCGGCATCGTATTCACCTGTTACAGCCTCGGTAAAGACGCTCACAGCATGATTCCAACCTTGAATCCAAGTGTTACCCCCAGTCTACTCATACTCATAGTTTATGCAGGGCTTCCCACTTCTCATCCCTGGACTCGCCAGGAATATAACCGTTGAACCGTTGAACCCGCGAGAAAACGTGATTGACCAGTCAAAGAGCCGCATAATTATTATATTCGAGTACGGCTCTTGGTCTCTGATCCTTCCACATTCTCCAACACCCCTCCCTTCAACCATCACCAAAAATGTCTTTAAAACGGCTCTTCACCACATCTCGGTCACTAACCCACGAAAACCCATTAGTATCACTCACTACTGATATTCTTTACCGCATACCAGAGGTGCACAATCTAACTGCTTATCTGCTGTGGTCTCTTCTAGGGCCTTCCCCGGTCAGGATCTCCACCGCAAATCCCACGAATTCTGCGAGGTCTCCCAACAAAGAGGCCCATAAAGGATGTTTCCAAGGTCGTAGCCGTTTCCTCCGCCAAAGGCGGTGTCGGAAAATCTACCATTGCAGGTACGGCCCCCCGACCACTCCTCACATAGGGCGGGTGACTTGCATGCTTACTTTCCCCTCCCTCCATAAAGTCAATCTGGCGTTGGCCTTGGCGAGGCAAGGCAAACGCACAGGAATACTAGACGCGGACATATTCGGCCCTTCCATACCTAAATTATTGAACCTATCGGGCGAACCTAGGCTTTCCTCGCGTACGTATTCCTCTTGCCACACCCCTGGCCCTTCCGCCAGAAGGGCGGAGAAGCGTTTTTGTTGATTTTACAGATAACCAATTGATTCCGCTGAGTAATTATGGCGTTAAATCCATGTCCATGGGCTATCTGGCCGGTGAGGAGGCTCCAGTGATCTGGAGGGGCTTGATGGTCATGAAGGCAATGAATCAGATGCTCAATGAGGTCGAGTGGGGTGGGCTCGATGTTTTGGTTCTTGATCTCCCACCAGGAACCGGTGACGTTCAACTTAGTATCGCTCAGCAGGTCGTAGTAGATGGTATGCACGGATCTCATTCCCCTTCCACTTCAAGCGAATTGCGTGCCGCTGCCCGTGTGGGAACTCAAAAACGCTGTCCCCTATGAGGGACAATGCTCACCGAGGACTCTTATGAAGAACAAGGGGGGTGTCGCTAAAGTTCGCAAAGTGGAATGCGTGCATGGAGGATACTAACTCAGGCAAACAGGAGCTTTGATTGTTTCCACGCCTCAGGATATAGCTCTCGTCGACGCAGTCAAGGGAATCAACATGCTCAAGAAGGTTGACGTTCCGGTGAGTTCTTTGCCGAAGGAACCCTCCACCCAGATCTAAGCCGAATGGAAATTCTTAATTCGAAATCTTACCTCCCCTAACTTTCCTCATCTAGCTATTAGGAATGGTGCAGAACATGAGCGTATTCACATGCCCCAACTGCCAGCACGTTACTCACGTTTTCGGAGCGGATGGTGTCGAGAGAGAGTGCAAGAAACATGGCATAGAACTGCTTGGGGATATTCCTTTGCACGCCTCTATCTGCCAGGATGCTGACCGGGGGAAGCCCACAGTAGTATCTGATCCTACCGGAGCACACGCTCTCGCCTTTGAAGGGATTTCTGAAAGGGTCAGCAGAAAGCTTTTCGGTTAGCTTGAGATTTACAGGCTTCACGCAACAGAGTGGCAAACACTTCTCATGTCGTACCACTTGTATGGTAATTTCACCTCTAACGGAGTTTATCCGCCCGTTCCTCGAGACACCTGGAGGCGGCTGGCGGTCCGTAGCCAAAATTAGGGGTTTCCAAATCCTGCCGAAAATGTCATCTGTTTCGCAAGTTATTTCAAAAGTCGCAAATCTTCCCACCAACGCGCCTCTCAAGAGAGCGATGTACTTAGATACAATATACTCGAGTAGTATTTGTAGTGTAAAATATATGCATACGGTACCCCCCGGCCCCACCCTGCGGACTTGATATATTGTGGTACGCTGTGCAAATGCACTCTTCTAGGGTTCGCAAGGAATTAACTGTCTGCCAGCACCCTCCTCCGTCGTCGCCAATATCATGATATCTATCACCATCCCATGTACCGTACCCTTCCACAGTATCTATCCGGGAAGCAATTCCCCAGCAGTCTTGCAAGGGTGGCCAAAGAATCATAGCGGCATAGCACAGTACTCGAGTACAGTGCCGGTACCTGCAGAGCGGTGCGGTGCTGTTTCACCTATTTGCGCCGTACGCCGGAGGGGGGGTAACTAAGCCAAGCTTGGTCGCCCGCATTCTGCATCTTTCCTGCCCTTCATTTATGTAGTAGAAGAGTACTGTACTGTACGAGTAGATAGTGTCTCAGCTGCCTTTCCGCACTACAGTGTTGTGAACCGGCAGATCTCGAAAGAGGCACAAACCAAGCTACTCCGAGGGGCACGGTACGGTACTGTACCGCATTGCCATAGAACCGTACGAAACTGGTTGGATCGAGGATGGAAGTGTAGGGGACGGTGAACTCGATATGTGGCGTGAATTATTCCCTTGAATATGAATGAATCCACACAAGCTATCTCTCCGGTTCAGGAAAAAGTGTTTGTAATGGGATTATGCTTGATTTGTTTCCCGCCGGGAAGGAGTGTGGACTACTGCGCCTAATTAGCACCTGGCACTCAGATCTCTCACTCACGCTCGTTTGGTTGCTCCGGGGTTGGTGCACCCAACGCAACCTCTTGGCAGGGCCACACACTGACCTGTGGGGAGTCTGTAGACTACGCACTCTATGATACCATGTACCACCGACCAACCAACCACATCCCGAGAGAGAGAAAACAAAGTCGCTGGCACCACACCGCTACCTTCCATCTCTTTCTCCGCCATCACATAAATTCCACCGGCGCACTCCCTATCAAAGCGTCTTTCGCACTGCATCCCCTACTCTCTAGCGAGAAGGAAAGAAAGGAAGAACAAACCTTCTTTCACTTACCCACGGTGCATACTTCGGTGTCGCGCATATCTCTTGTTAACACTCCTCCACCTACCTCCTTCCGACGGTGAACACACAAGCGCAGAGCGCACGCTGAGGAAGAAAGAAAAACACAATCGACCAAGGGATACATCAATCGGGAGAAAGAAAGAACATGGGCATTGTCCGCCTCCACATCACACCCTTAACTCCGGAGACCATGCACTCCCTTCTCCCACCGAAAGTCCTCGCCAATAAAGCGGTTATCGCGTCCATGTCTTTTCACACAATCCCTTCCTTCCCAGAGAAGAGTTATGGATACTTGAATTGTGAGCGGGAGGTTGCGGACGGAATCAAGAAGAAGTTGAATGGGAGTTTGTTTCGGGGGGTCAAGGTTAGAGTTGGGGACGCCCGGCCTGACACTTTCGTTCCTGGGGGTGTTCCTGATGGGGGAGTTGAGGGAAAGAAGGAGAAGAGAAAGCGTGCTAAGGAGGGGGATGATGGCGATGGGAAGAAGAAGGCTAAGAAAAACAAGAAGGAAAAGAGTGTATTTGATGGTATTGAGCTGAGGGATAGGAAGGTTCAGAGAGGGTGGAGTAGGCCGCCTACAATCGCTACACCTACGAAAGGAGATAGCAAGCGGGATTGTCTTTTTAGGTCTTCTGCTGCTACTCCCACTCCTACCTCCTCTGCTTCGACCACTGTTTCCACCGAGAAGTCCAAGAGGAAAAAGGCGAGCGGCACCATCAAGGAATTCACGCACAACACCAAATTCCCACAATTTCTTAAGGGAACCCCGCTCGGCAAGGACATTTCAGCAACCACTGCAACTTTTGACGAATCCCTCGGCTGGCTCAACTCCTCCGGCACCGTCATTGAAACAGCCCCTGTCTCTTCCGCCCCTCCAGTAATCAAACACACCCCGATAGCCCCACCCGCCGTCATAACCACCACCCCCCTCCCCCCGTCAACAACGACCTACCGCTCCCACTCTCCTTCATCTTCCACATCCGCCCCCTCAGCAACAGACTCAGAGCCAGAGTCAGAAATCTCCCCCATAACCCCCAAAACACCCCCTTCAGCCACCCCCAACACTACCGCCAAGCGCTCCAAGGTGCCCACCCCAGCCCTACAGATCACAATTCCGCGCATAGTACACCCCTTGGAAGCCCTCTACAAGCCAACAATCGCAACGCCCTGCTCCTCTGCCATCTCCCCGACAAACACCTCCTTCCGCTTCGGTTTCAACCTTGGCAGTAGCGGTGATGTGAACGAGGATGAGGACGAGGACATGCTCAGTAGCGACGAGCAGCCTCCCGTTCACGTGGTTTCCACGCCGCCTAATAGGTACCGCTCCGCGGCGCCAACACCAGATACCGCGATTGGGCACAGGAAGTTCTTCCCTCCCGATGAAGATGAGGTTCCGGATCTTTCCGGCGGTGGGGGAAGGCTGTTCGTCCCGTCGACGCCGAGGGTTATCGGGTCTATTTCTATGGGGAGTGGAGAGACGGAGAGGAGAGGGTCAATGAATGTGGAGGCTCCGTTGTTGGGCGCTCACGAGGACAGTAAGTTTTTGGCGGCGTTGAGTATTTGGGGAAGGATTCCGAATTCCAGGACTCTTGATGCGGTTGAGGGAGAGGGAGAGGGGGGGAGTGTGGAGCTTGTGGAGAGATGGAAAGAGACGTTCTACAAGAACCGAGGGGAGTGGAATAGGGATTGGAAGAGAAGGAGGAGAGAGGGGAGGAAGAGGGGAGTTGGGAAAAAGGTTTCCGCTTAGTTCAGCGGCTACTGTTTGTTTGTTTTTTCCTTTTTCCTTTTTTTGTTTGAGACCTTTGTATATATTATTGTTTGTTCATGACCTCATGTGTGGGATTCAAAAGCGAGTCTCATGTTACGCTACTTTTACTACTTTCTCCCAATGCCCTTTTCCCTATTGTGTGAGCTGGTGATGGATTGTGTTTGGATATGGTATTATACAGTATTAAGAATCATGAATTCTCAATTGCCCCCCACTCGGCACCTCTCAACCCCCCAATCCGAAGCACTAACATATCGATATAAACCCGCCCTCGTTCGATAACCAACCAAACAAAACCCGGCACCTGAGACAAGCCAAATTCCGATCTACCGTGCAATAACGATGAACACAGTGAGATCGAGTACGATCTTGGTAACTAAGTATTTACTTTACCGCCCGATGCACCTGTCATCATCACTGAGGATGACCCTAGTCACCGAGCTATCTTAGAAATCTCGTCACCGGCAATAACCTCAATTTCTTAGGGTATCTCCTTGTGGAGTGTAAAACCTTTGTGTGAACTGACGACTTGGTGATAGTTTTGATCCTTTCATTGTTGCCGTTTTTTTTACCCACTCCAAGGGGAGAGCAAAAGACTGAAGGGGAAAATAAATCAGGAAGAGGAACCAATCAATCCACCACATGAGAAAAGAAAGGGGCTGGGGGTCTCTGTTGGGGTGTAGAGATAAGCTACTCTAATAGCTGCTTCAACTTCTTGTATGCTCGAAAAACACTTTCAAGCGTAGTACGTGGCTGGTATGTTGGCGAGGTTCGGCCCCCTCTCTGATTTGGTTTGCTCCGGGCGGCGCATCCCCGATAGAATATATGGCACGGGTGATGGGCGGTGGGCCCGGAAGGGTACCCGAGGACAAATTCAGGTATTTGATTGATTAAGATGTCGGTGGCTTTAAACGAGTGTAAAAATGTATCTTAGATTTGAGTATACCGGAGCATGATCTTGTATAACGGAATTAGAATATCATTAATATCGTGGGCTCCAACTGCCAGAGCTGCGTGCCTCTTGCTAATAGTTGAGCGGAGATATTTCTTCTCGAGTTCCCTTGCGAACAAGGGCACCCGTATCTCTTAGTGTTGGAAGACGTTGACCATCCATATCCCCCTAGTCGTGTATAGGACAGTACATAACCGGGGGCTCGTAACCTCCTTGAAGGACACCCCGCTCAACAAGCACTAACCTGTCTTCGTGATGTTGGCTTAACCAGGGAATCTCCATTCAGCGCGCCTCTTGAGGGCATCACTCCTACTCGGAGGATTTAATGTGAACCCAATTTTTACATTGAAGGGAAATCCTTCGGAGAATAGAGTAAGTGGGACTTAAGTTATCCGGATGCGAGGGTGCAAACTACCCCTAGCTAACCAAACCGGTCATCCGTGCTCCTTTGTGTTATTCGTTCATTGTCCACGATCAATGGGGGAATAGAAAGTTACGTTTCCTAAAAGATCCTTGAGGTTAGTTCTGGATAGTCCCAGTACGCCTTCCATAGTAACCCATAGCTTACCCACAAGTCCTAGTTTGGGGTACTTTTTCACCGAGTGGGGTTCGGGCCCCGTACGAGAGCATGGTTTCCTAGGAGCTATTTAGAAATGAGATCGGAACTAGCTGATAAAGCTAGTACTATGCAGTTCCAATCAACCATTGCAATAGCTAGTAGCCGGGTGTTAGAATAATGCAATTGCACATAGGACGACCAGCGCGGCGCACTGCCCCCTCAGACTGCCAAGGCGAAGTTTTAACAACATACGTACCAATGTGTGAGGAGGAGAGGAACCAGCAATGGCCCCAAAGCTTCATGTCAAACGGGTACAAATTAGAACCCTCCATCTCTAGGTGTCTTGACATCATTGAACTCAAGTTCTTTCAATATTAGCAGGTTTACCTTCCATTTTTTCCCCCTCTGCAGATCCCCCCCTCAATTGGCATTCATGCCCCCCTCCCACCACCCCATATTCCTGTCATATTCTACTGTTCCTGAGGTAGAATTTCCAGTGTCGATATTGGGAACTTTCAAGAACCAACAGAATGCGGGGGGGGGTTGTAGTAGAGGTATGAAAAGGGTAGCGAGATCTTTGCACGATTAGCATCTAAGTTAGCCCCCTCGATTTTTTGAGAGAGCAAACTTGAGCATGTTTGTCAGTTGAACTGGTATCGTGCGCGTGTACGCGGCTTTTCATCACTAATTTTCATACAACAAACATCCTACTGAGGGCGGAAGGACCCGCAATGATTTGTTCCTCACTCTGTCCGCTTACTCACATAGCAGGAGTCAAACGTTTTGCGTTGGGTACCGAAGTATATCCATAGTGCACTACATTTCAATGTCATTAAAACATGGAGGGGTGAAGTTAGACAGAATATTGAGAGACTTTACGATATATAGCTACTTGGGTGCGACTGGCTTTTAGCGGAATCTCTCGTGAACACCTGAAAGTGTTGCCACATTACTTCGTTCGTCGCCCCAAGGAGGAATTGGTTCACAGGAGGAAGGGCTAAGATCATAGTGGATCACTCGTGCTATTTCAGATTTACGCTCTCAAGTCAGCTGTTGAGCGGAGACGAGGCCGGATAAGGCGGCCCAAAGGCCACGACTGTCGTATCTAGTATGCTGCAGATGGGCCCTGGCCTGGCCCGAGTCTGGTACTAGCTCAAAACATTAAAGATACTGGTCGGTTTTGTAATAAATACCGGTTTCAGCTGACTCTTGTCGTGTCAGGCATAGAGCGCCACACAAAAACATCAGTAATACCGTACCTGCATGACATATCAAAACTTCTAAGAGTTAAGACCCACAATTTCACTTGCTTTTTTGAACTACTAGTAATAAGCGATTATATTACTGGCCCTTTAGGGGCCGCTCTAACTTACTTCTTAATATGGGCTGTCTCGACCTTGTCCCTGCAGACCGTAAATAATAATGCTGTATTGCTGTATTGCTCTCGAATCGTCACACGAATGGTCTAACCTAATCTCGAGAATATCGCGAGCCAATCTACGCGCCCGAGTGGCGACCATCACGGCCCGAGGAAGACAAAACGCAGAGATCTAAGGGAGGGAGAGAAGCTCAACCTGCAACACCCGATGCATAAGTGATAGAGTTTGTGATACGGCAACCCACGGACTAAGCTCGCCGTATGTATGCCGCAGGCCAGCATTGATACCAATGGTATCTGTCATTGGTATTTGTTTGGCGGGGGGTGATTCCGGAGCGGAATAGTCCGGGCGCCAAGTGGAGCCGTGAGTGGGGTCATCCTACCCGTGGGGGGGTTGGAATGGCTTTTTATCGTTAGAATTTACGCCGCGCTGTATCTCGGTCCGGATTGAGCACGTTTCCTGCTCAAGCGGGGTCCGCCACCAAGTGCTCGGGACCGAGGAGTGGCGATGATTCGGCCAATGATGTGTTGTGAGACAATACACTGAAACAAAGATTTCCGAACTCTCGGGAGAGGGGGCCGTGAGCAAGGCGTTGGGCAATGGCACCGGAACTTCCACTTTCTGGGGTACCGTGCCCCACTTGAGGTGTCACTTTATTTTTGCTGACATGCATGATCATCTTGGGGGAATTTCTCGACGTTATCTTCAACCCCTTAATGCACCCAAGTGTAATTTAAAGAATGATAGTCACGGTTTCGGGATAAGATGTTCGTCGTTGAAGACCGTGTCACTGATATCCGTATGGTCAGACATAAACGTATGAATTTTCATTGCAATTGCCGTTCCCACCAAGCTCTGGTCACAAGGTTGGGTTAGATGGATGCGTAGGATGTGTGTGCTGTCGACATTCAAGGTGATAATTGGGTCTGAGTGACAACCAACCGCTGGCAATATGGACTCGTCGGGGCGCTAGGGTAGGTAGAGTTCGGTGACATATCTGATTACCGGTTGCGCATTTCGCACCAAAAATGGAGTTCTTTGTAGGTTTACAACACGACCAGAAGTTATTCGATTACCATCATTTCTCTGCTCAGTGAAACCCCTGGCTATTGCGACGGGGGTGTCGGGATTTGAGAGGGGTAGTTGCAGCTTGTGGGTCCGTGTGAGTTTCTGAAATTGAAGATGCTTGAAATATCACAAGTACCTCTCTGTATTAGCTGCCATATGAATTCCAGGCGCCCAAGCCCAGCTTCCAAGCTCTCCCATACATAAGTGATTCCATAGCAGGAGATTTCTCAGGTCTGCCAATGGTGTGAGTGCAATGGTCGACCAAAGGTATAGTCTAAATAGAAAGCTAGTCCTCTGATGACGCATTGTTTGGGATTGTGGGATCGATATGCCGCGCTCCTCAAGGGTGAGACAGAAAAGCGGCAGATTCGTTGAATCTAAGGGCTTCCGCAAACCACGTTTTGCACTTTGAACTGGGTGTGGCTAAAATTATGCTATGCACGAACAGTGCCGGTACGGTACTAAGTATTACTGTGGTTTAGTGGCCATGGCGTTAGGTTGTGAATATCGATCCGTGCCTTAGACTAGATACCGGAAGTCGTATGATATTGCGGTGAGGCTGCCGTCGATATCTAAATTGCGTTTCTACTACTTCTTATCGCATTATATCTGGGCTTTGTCCCGAGGGAGTTAGCGGTGGAATATCACTGTGAAGCCAGTCAACACTAGAATTCGTTGCTTTAGTTCTCAGAGCTTGGCTCCTGAAGAGGTGTTTACCAATCCCTGTTGGATCGACACGAGTGATTTTATGTGATGCGATCGAATGGGATTTAAGTCTTCAATCGAAGTATAGTGACGGAATCCCTATAGTAGAAACTTGATCCCTCCTCAGAGACTCGTGATTTGTATCTTTACCATTTGGCGGGCCTTTTCCCGAGGAGAAACCTGAGTGGTGAGTATTGGCCCCCATCATACAATGCAGATGGTTTCTTTCTGCATTTGTTCCTAGCGGGTTACACGAGTTATTGGAGTCTTCAGACACACCAAGGTACAACTCACGCGGGGGGTTGTACAAATGCAATGTATTCAAGTGCCCAAATCCGGCACTCTTTAATCAAGTACAAGGTATGATACTCGACATTAGAACACTAGGGTAGCGGAATGGTTTCCGTAGGGATTCTTTCTGTTGCGTAACTCGGACGACATCGATAAGCCCCGAGACCACAATTTGGCATTGTGATAGCCGATTTGACGGTCGATTGCCGCACGACGCCGGAACAAGATAAAGAGGCTTGAAACAACCATGTCCCGCCAGTGCCTGCATACCGTACAAGCGACATTTAGCAAGGAAGCCCATTTGCATTCTAGTCACTTCCAACGGGAAAGAACTCAATGGACAAGAAGCTATCCACCGCTCTTCCGAGACAACATGTTTTGAGCAATTTGCATAGATCGGCGATCCCTGGCCTGGCACTTTTCTGTGCCTCCGCGCAAGGAGGTGGTGAAATGTTCTATGTAACAAGCCAGTTGTGGGCTTTTCCGAAACGTGAATGAATTGTTTGCCGGCCGCCAGGCCAGGGGGCGCAATTATAATCGGCAGTTGATATCACAAGTCAAGCTGTATCGTGTGCTGAACTCTGCAAACCGGTTCCCAATCACTTTTCCCCATTTGCCGCGGACGAACACTCGGCGGCGATTAAAGCAACTCAGTTGACCTTGCCCCGCTGGCGCGGGGTCACCGATAGGCGCCGTAAACGCATGAATAAACGGAACGTGCAACACCCGACAAATTAAGGTTAGCCGGTTGGTAGCGATTAAAATTGGGGGATTCAAGTAGCCTTTTCGCTGTTTGGGGAACAGTTACCAGTAATGTGCCTATCCCTTGAGCATAGTGCCTGCATGAGCGGGGGCGCGAAATGCATAATATAAAGCATATACCGGTATTGTATTGAAGGTGTCCACACTCTCCTTGGACCGAATTCATCGTTACTTCTCCGGAGAAGCATGTCCAAGTTTTTAACCCGTCCAATACTCGCACAATTCTCAAATATAGACTTCGGCTGCGGGCAAACTGGGACCACTTGGCGCGCTCGTATGCCGTCGGAGCGTTGTCTTAAGGTCACGTCGGGATAGCACGGGACCCCCCCCCGGTAGACAAGGAATTTTTATTTTTTTTTCCCCTTGGGGGGGAGGATGGAGAGTGTTGATTCTCCATGGCTACATCCCCGCGCATAGAATACTTCGGGTCTCCGCTGTAATATTTCATTTCAAATACCGTGGGCTGTAATTACTCCAGTGCTAAGAAATTTTTTCATTTTCATTCATTTTTGAAACTAGCGCGATATCGAATTTAGTAGCAAATCAGCCCAGCGATTCGATTGAGCCAGATCGACCTTGTTCACACGGGCCGAGCTCTTAGCCCGGTATGATACTGGTGGCGGACCCCTTGAGGACTGAACTATGATAGCATGCTGTTGGAAGGGGGGAGGGGATACTATGCTGTACATACTGTACATACGCTGTTACCCTTGCACATAACACCTAGTGTATATCAGAGTAGTGCACCCCACCCCCCGACCGTATCTTCTGACTACCTACCAAACCACACACCACCCGAGCCATCACCAAACAAAGGACACTCCTGCTGAAGAGAGCTGTTAACTATCCGTTTTCCTAACCAAAATTGCTATGGCCAATGCGTCCCACAACGTTCCAGCACCGCCCCTTCCTGTGGACCCTTCTTGGGTAAGTCAACTGTCGACAAACACACATTGAGTGGGACATTGAGGCTGATATTGGATATTAAAACAGAAAGAGACATCTGATTACGAGACTGCAGAGTATTTAATTCCATAGCTTGCTCGGTACATAGTTCTAATCATCACTAGGAGTGAATATTCTACCGCTTCACTCACTGAGTCTGTCCGAGCGTAAGCAAGAAAAAAAAAAAGCCCTAATTACTTATACTAGAAAAATCTCTCTCTCCTTTGCTGATATAATAACATTCTAGGTATCGATACGAAAATGGGCGTCGATACCATGCTTTCAAGGAAGGGCAAGGAGCCTGGTCTCGTAGTTTGGTATCCTATCAAGCTAACTTGGAGTAGGAAATATCTCATTCCAAACGACGAAGCTGAACAAGACAGGTTGGTTCCGGAATTGATATCCCTGCTTAAACGGCGTTGCTAAACAATAATAGATTAGATATCATTCATCACGTCTTTCTCCTTTTGCTTGATGGCAAGCTGTTTAGAGCTCCTATTGGCGATGACATTCAGAGGATCTTGGATGTTGGAACCGGTACGGGAATCTGGGCTATGGATGCCGGGGAGTAAGCGTCGATTTCAGTAGTGATGAAAATCCTTCACTTATAATCATGTATAGAGCCTACCCTGCTGCAGAGGTTATTGGAACAGATCTTAGCCCAATTCAACCAAGCTGGTGTGCAGCCCACCCAAGCTCCCAGAAGCTCTCACACTCATTCCAAAAATTTTAGGGTTCCCCCCAATGTGAGCTTTCAGATTGACGACGCAGAATCGGATTGGACTTTTGGAAGTAACTCATTCGATTTAATTCATATTCGCCATTTAAATGGTGGAATCAAGGATTGGAGGAAACTTATCGGGCAGGCGTTCAAGTGAGTATCTCTGCTGTTCTGGGGCCATTATTATTAACCTAACCTTTTGACCAATAGGGCCCTGAAACCTGGCGGCTGGCTAGATATTGCGGAGTACGAATGCTTTCTTCGGAGCGATGACGGATCTTTGTCCGCTGAGAGTAGCCTGTTCAAGTATTATGAACTCGTAAACGAAGCTGCCGATAAAATGGGTAAGTAGCTAAGCCATGGTTAACTCCCAGTGTCTACCTGGGGCTGACTTTGCTCAAAGGCCAGGAGTTCAAAATTGCTGCCTCTTTGGATCAGTTTATTCTAGACGCCGGTTTTGACAAAGTTCGCCACGAAGAGATGAAAGTCCCCCTCGGAACCTGGCCGGCCGATAAAAAGCAAAAGGAGATAGGGGCATTTCTCCTTCTTACCACTGAGCATGCCTTTGAAGCCTTTGGAATGGCTCTCCTCACTAGAGCGCTTGGAATGGGGATTCCAGAGGTCCAAGAATTGATTACGGCGGCCAAGAGGGAATCCCGTAGTAGAAAGATTCACCCTTACACGAACCAGTACGTTTTTATGACACTCAGGGGAATGCCTGGGCTAACGTGTGGCAAAATAGGCATTTTTACTACGCGCAGAAACCCTTCGATGATAGTGACTCCGAGTGATCATGTCCGATGGGGAAATTGGACATTTCAAGATTTTCGCATAACGGGAGGACCCTTGCAGGATACATACTCCAGCCCACCTTATTCTGTTCCACCTCTTGTGTTTTCTTGGACACGTCAGTCGTACCCCTGTAGATAAAATTTTGTTTGGCTCTTCCCCTCTTTTGATAGTTATAATTTCACAGGATTCGAGTGATATCTAGTGACAGCAACTGTGACCTACCAGTATCGCATCTTTTGATGAGACTGCAATCCAGCACTACTGGTAGCAACTGCTGTGATGCTCAGAAACATTCGGCTATAACTCAGTCCTCCTGCACACAACTCTCATGCCTCCAAGTGCTCGAGGATTATCCTCGGATAACCGCCAAGAAAGGCAGCGGACGGCTAAAAATACCGTACTGCACCAGCTTAGGTTGGGTCCGTCGGCCGGTGCTCCGGTCCCTAATAGAATAATCGCAGCCACACGTCACATCTCTCGCACAAGGTAACCCATCATTTTGCAATACCGTCCGATGATATACCTCGAGCAACGCTCGACCACGACGTCGGTCGGCTGGCGTCAACAGACCTCGAGGGGCCGCAATTTTCTGTGGAACCCACCGGGTCGCAAGCCAAGCCAAGCCACTGCCAGTCCGGTAGGATACCCGAGTAGGATACGAGCAGCAGCTGCAGTTAGCGAATATAGGGAAACCCGCACTCCCTTGTCTGTCCGTCTGCCGGCAATTTCGGAGTGTGGTGTGCCGTATTTTGCATGACTATGATACATATGCTCGGCTGCATGTGGGGAATCATTAATATTAGTCGGTACTGTGCTTGTGAGTTAGGGCGTGAGTGACCTGACCTGTCTGCTTAAAAGAACTGGACGAGGAGAGATGAAGTTCAACTTATTATACGGTACCGCGTGACATTGGTAGTGCAGGGAGGCGTTGGATACGGAAGTCCGAGGAGGGGAGGAGATGGGGCCTGCGGGGTTCCAAGACTATGGAATAGTGTGGCGGTGGCAAGTTGTGGTTTTCACGGCTGAGGTATGATACTATAGAGGGGGCAAGAGGCGTGATGTGTGGTTCCCGGGTTTGCGAGTGAGAGGACGTGAGTGGAGTTATTGGAGGTGGGGAGTGTTGGATGCGTGGGGGTTGGAGGGGGTAG